AAGGCTAAACAGGTGGTGACTTAGGAGAATGAGCCGATGGCAGGGACCACCTGGCCTTTGAAAAGCACAGAGGTAAACTGTGCCCCATAAAGATGTGCACTTACAGTGTGTCCATTTTTAAAATTAAAACACACCAAAAAAGCACAGGAGAACAAAGCACACAGGGACAAAGGAATTGGCTGTCACTCAGCTGCACGGGTATGGCACAGGGAGATAAGGAAGGGCAGCTGGCAAACAACTGAGCCCAAGCGTGAGGGCCGGTAGCAAAGCCATCTCCTGCAATGGAAGAGCAGGGAAAGACAGACCCAACTCAGGAATTGCTAGCAATGCGGAGCTTCACAAACTAACACCCGGATGAGGCTGAGGCAGGTAGCTCGAGCCCTCAGCCAAGGTATATCCGTCTGGTGCTGATCGAGGCTCTGATTGAGAAAACCTGGGCTGGGATCCCAACACATGAACGGATGGTGGAGGTCCCTGAAGATTCTGGCTCCCAGATTCCTCTGAACCCACGTTCTCTGCTAAGAGGGCCCACCCCTCTTTATTAAGGGCTAGCACCCCCTGCTGCCCAGGAAAGGCAATGCAGAGATCTCTCCCTGAAACAACAGACCCTCCAGATGCCCCATTTCCTCTTCTGGCTGCCAGAATAACTGGCCATAAGTCACCGTGTAATTCAGCCAGGAACATGCTGGGCCGTACAGAGAAGAAAGGAACTAAACCCAGCATGTACCGGCAGGAGCAGGGGAGGCTCTCATGGACCTAGTGTTTTTTGTGTTTTTGTTTTTTTATTTTTTTTTTAGACAGAGGCTTGCTCTGTCACCCAGGCTGGAGTGCAGTGGCATGATCTCGGCTCACTGAAACCTCTGCCTCCTGGGTTCAAACAATTCTTCTGCCCCAGCCTCCCAAGTAGCTGCGATTACAGGTGCCTGCCGCCATGCCCAGCTAATTTTTGTATTTTTAATAGAGATGGTTTCACCATATTGGCCAGGCTGGTCTCAAACTCCTGACCTCGAGTGTTCCACCCACCTCAGCCTCCCGAAGTGCTGGGATTACAGGTGTGAGCCACCATGCCCAGCTGGACCTAGAGTTTTGAGGATATCAGAATAGAAATCTGATATCAGAAACCTGGGTCAGAAAGTTTATTAATTTGGCGGAACTTTCTTGGGATGCGGGATTTCCACTCCAGCAAGGACCCCAGGAAACAGTTCAGATGTATGAATATTACTGCGCTCCCAAAAGCCTTGTAATGACCCATGCAGCGCAGCTGAAATGCTTGAATTTCAGTGCTTCCTCCACATCAGCAGTGGAGGAAGAGATTTAAACGTTTAGGAAAGCAGACATGTTGGAATGTATTATTTGAGGCCTGAGGACACCGTAGGCTTATCTTCCATGGAAGACACACTCTTTACCATGGCGTTGGTGAAGGGAGCACCAGCTTCAATAAACAAAATGAGAGATGTACAGACAGTGGGGCCTGCCCTCCGTAGGCCAGGCATGAAGGTAGAAGAGGTCATAACAAAGCTGGGATTATTGATAGCAATGGAAACAACTGGCCTGCTCCCCAGCGCCAAGCAATAAAGGCCAGGTGGCAACAATAGAAGCCAGGTGGTCACAATTACCTTAATGTACATTATTCAACCTTAAAAAGGAAGGAAATCCTGGGCTGGGTACAGTGGCTCACGCCTGTAATCCCAGCATTTTGGGAGGCCGAGGCGGGTAGAACATGAGGTCAGGAGTTCAAGACTAACCTGGCCAACATGGTGAAAACCTGTCTCTCCTAATGTCAAAGAGCTGGTCAAGGCAGTGCCTATAATCCCGGTGCAAGGTGGGAGGATCACCTGAGGCCAGGGGTTCGAGACCAAGCTCGGCAACGTAGCAAGCCCTGTCTATACAAAAACGATTTTAAAAATAGCCAGACATATTTGCATGTACCTACAGTCCCAGCTACTTGGGAGGCAGAGGTGGGAGGATTCCTTTAGCCCAGGAGTCGGAGGCTGTAGTGAGCCTCCTAGGCTGGTGCCATTGCCCTCCAGCCTGGGTGACAGTGAGAACTTGTCTCAAAAAAAATAAAGGAGCCAGTCACAGGGAAATTAAGTTGATTAATAGAACATGATATCCCTAGGGATAAAATTAACAGCCAGCCAACAAGGGCAAATCAAACACACAAGAATAGGCTGAGCACAGTTGCCCCAGTCAAGCTTTGAAGTACTGAAATTAGAAGACGTGCACAGTGTTGGTGGGAATATAAAAGGGTGCAGCTGCTGAGGAAAAATCTGAGTGTCCACCAAAAAATTCAAAATGGAATTCCCATATGATCCAGCAATGCCACTTCAAAAGCCTGGAAAGGACCTTGAGACATTTGCACACTCATGTTCACAGCAGCATTATTTACAACAGCCACCAGGTGGCAGCAACTCAAGTGTCCATTGATGGACAAAAAACCAAATAAAATGGGAAATGTACATTATTCAGCCTTAAAAAGGAAGGAGATCCTGGGCTGGGTACAGTGGCTCACGCCTGTAATCCCAGCATTTTGGGAGGCCGAGGCGGGTAGAACATGAGGTCAGGAATTCAAGACCAGCCTGGCCAACATGGTGAAACCCTGTCTCTCCTAAAGGTACAAAAGTTAGCTGGGCACGGTGGTGCGCACCTGTAGTCCCAGCTACTCAGGAGGCTGAGGCAGGAGAATCACTTGAAACTGGGAGGCGGAGGTTGCGGTGAGCCGAAATCGTGCCACTGCACTCCAGCCTGGGCGACAGGGTGAGACTGTCTCAAAAATATAAAAAAGGAAGGAAATTCTGTCACATACTGCAACATGGATGAGACTTGAGGATATTATGCTAAGTGAAACATGCCAGTCACAAAAAGAAAAAAATACTGTACGATTTTATTTATATGAGATATCGAAAGTAGTCAGATTCATATGCACATAAAGTGTTCCTAGGAATATTTTAATGGTGGCTGCCAGGAGCCGGGGGCGGAGAGGCATTTGGAGTTGTTTAACGGGTATGGGGCGTCAGTGCTGCAAATCTAGAGCTCAGCTGCACAACGCTGTGAATAGACTTCAAACTATGGAAGTGTACACTTACAAAGTGTTTAGATGATAAATGTTGTTTCCTGTGTGGTTTTTTTTAATTTTTTGGGACTGGGTCTTGCTCTGTTACCCAGGCTGGAGTGCAGTGGCACCATCTCAACTCACTGCAGCCTTGACCTCCTGGGTTCAAGCTATCCTCCCACCTCCGCCTCCCAAGTAGCTGGGACTACAAGTGCACACCACCACACCCAGCTAAAAATGTTATGTTTTTATTACAATTTAAAATAAAATATATGTTTTAAAAACACTTAAAAAAAAAATCATGATTCCTTCTCATTTCCTATACCTGAGACATTTTCAGACCTGAAATCTATTGAATGGAAACTGTGGCGGAGTCCCCAGGATGAAGGCCCCTGCGACGTCACAGCAAGTGTGCACTGTCATAATTCCACAGTCCTGGGGGACTGTCACCTGGGAGAGGGAGAATATCCAGACATTTTGACGACTGCTAGACACAGGGTCTGGAACGTCACTAATATTCAGAGACCCAGAATGTCATTATGGCCCCTGTGACAATGGTGGGAAAATGGAGATTCTGGCTGATGTCCAGCTTACCTACTACGTGTACATCTCCACCTCAGCCCCCCCATTTTGTTCCATTGTAATATCGGTAATACCTTTTGATAGGTCTTTCACAGTTTCAGATAGCATATTCTTGTTTGCTGTCAATAGCTGTCACACACACACACACACACACACACACTCACAATTTCATTTTTGATCTTCATAACTAACCCTGTAAAGAAAATAGGACAACTGTGACCCCCAAATTAAGGATTAGAAAAACTGAAGCTAGCCAGGGGCGGTGGCTCATGCCTGTAATTCCAGCACTTTGGGAGGCTGAGGCGGGTGGATCACTTGAGGTCAGGAGTTTGAGACCAACCTGGCCAATATGGTGAAACCCCACCTCTACTAAAAATACAAAAAAATTAGCCAGGCATAGTGCCACTCGCCTGTAATCTCACCTACTCGGGAGGCTGAGGCAGGAGAATCGCTTGAACCCAGGAGGGGGAGGTTGCAGTGGGCTGAGATTGTGTCACTGCACTCCAGCCTGGCAACAGAGCGAGGCTCCATCTCAAAAAAAAAAAAAGCCGAGACAAGTAACCGAACTAGAAAGTGTCAAAATCTAAATCTAAAAGCAGGCTTTGGGAAATGCCGAGATGTCTAACCCCAACTGCCTGGAGTTAGGGTAAACTTCTCAGGGTGAGGAACCATCCTCTCCCAGGCTGCCTCACTTCAGGCACCGGGAGCCAGTTCAGGGCTTGGTTCCACTATCCCTGCAGGTTTGATAATTTGCTACAGTGGCTCACAGAACTCAGGAGGGCACTATACTTGTAATACAATTCAACTTGTATTGTAGCAAAGGGGTCCACATTTGGAACCAGCCAAGAGAACAGATACAGAGGGCAAAGTCTGCGAAGAGCGACGGGGACGCTTTGGCCATCTTCTCCTGCGGAGTTCCAGACGTCACTGCCCCTCCCAGCTAGGAGGTGTGGCAGGGCACTGCCACCAGGAAAGCCTGCCCAAGTCCTTGGCATCCGGAGCCCTTGCTGGAGCTTCACCACCTACAGCCTGCATGACTGACCATTGCGCTCCAGTCCCTATGGGGGCTGGAACTGATATGGCGGCTTCAAAGCCCCCATTACAAATCACATCATTCCAGCATCTAGTGGCCAAACTCTCCAGGCCAACAATGACATTCCTATCAGGGAGGACATTCCAGGGGCCTAGAGATCATCTCCCAGTAGCCGGGGGCCAAAGCCAGACCTCTCTTTGGCTAAAATCAGCTCTTCGCTACACAGGGGAGTTTTACTCTTTTGTTTTTTTTAGATTCCAGATCGAGTGCTCTAAACGCACTGTTCTGTTTAATCTTTGCTCTCGTCTTTGACCTGTTCTTTCTCTTTTCTAGCCGGCTGCAGGTCACGTGTTGCTCTGGAGAACTGAGAAGGGTGAGCAGACAACCCATCGTGACCCCAAAAGAGCAAGAGGGCAGAAGTAAGCGAAGTCTTTATTATCAAGCAAGAAATATGCTGCTTAAAAAGGAAAGTATTCTAAATTATCTTTTCTTACATGACGTTGAAATGAGATCTAGTAAATGCATCAGTTAGTAAGGGAAAGACCAAAGCAGTGCCGGGCAGTGACATCCAAGTAACATAATCCTGCAATCTACTTGACATTCTCTGATAATGGACTGCTCACTACAGCCTACAATTTCCTACAGATTAACACGCCAGTTACTTATTGAAATGTAAAATTCAGATGATTTCACTGGCGCGTGGAGGGGAGGGTACACACATTATATACGTGTGGCTGCTTTCTCTCTCGTTTTACGAAAGTCCATTGTGTCCTTAACTTTGGAGTACAAGCTGTCATCACGCTGTCATCAAAAACATTTATTAAGTCTCCAAATTTCAAAGTATGTTTTGTTTTCATGACTATTTATTTACGTTTCTCCCAACTAGATGGTGAGCAGTTTACACAGGTGCTCAACAAATGTGTTTTAATGAATGTCTACAAGAGGCTAATTTGAATTTTTAGAAATGAATTACATAGCACAATAGAAGCATAATAAAAGCATAAGAACAATAATGGACCTATAAGAAGGCACGGGCGTTGCTGCCCAGAAAGCCAGGTTCCCGTTCCAGCTCTGCTCCTTGGTGGTTTGACATTGGGCAGGTCTTAATTTTTTTTCAGAGATGGGGTCTCACTATGTTGCCCAGGCGGGAGTGCAGTGGCTATTCACAGGCACGATCCCACTACTGATCAGCACAGGAGTTTTGACCTGCTCTGTTTCCAACCTGGGCTGGTTCACCCCTCCTTAGGCGACCTAGTGGTCCCCCGATCCCAGGAGGTCACCATATTGATGCCGAACTTAGTGCAGACACCCGATCTCCACAGCGCACTACAGCCCAGAACTCCCGGGCTCAATCGATCCTCCCACCTCAGCGTCCCAAGAAGCTGGGACTACAGGCGCGCGCCACCGCATCCAGCTCAATTCTTACATCTATTTCCTCATCTGAAAAACAGAATAACCCATGTCTCTTCTACTTACCCAGGAGACTGCTATAAGAATCAAATGATTCCATCAATTTTAAGGTGTTTTACAAACGGTAAAGTACTTTGCTGATGTTATTATTTCTTTTTGTTGTCATTTTTGAGACAGAGTCTCGCTCTGTTGCCCAGGTTGGGGTGCAGTGGTGCCATCTCAGCTCACTGCAACCTCTGCCTCCCAGGCTGAAACGATTCTCCGGCCTCAGCTTTCCAAGTAGCTGGGACTACAGGCACCTGGCACCACACCCAGCTGATTTTTGTGTTTTTAGTAGAGACAGGGTTTCTCCATGTTGTCCAGGCTGTCTCAAACTCCTGGCCTCAGGTGATCCACCTGCCTCAGCCTCCCAAAGTACTGAGATCACAAAGTACGGAGCCACCGCGCCCCGCCTGCTGTTATTATTTTAGAAGTGGGATGCATTTACTAGGATGCATAACAAGACTGGGAAACATATTCAAGAATTCCAGACCCAGGCAGATTGAGATGAGGGAAGCTACCTCTCACTTCATCAGTCTTAAAGTAGTCCAGAAGTAATCTACTCCTGGTCTCTGCTGTTTATTATTTGTCTTCTTAGAGCCTTAGTTTCTTTCTTTCTTTCTTTTTTTTGAGGCAAGAGTCTCTGTCACCCAGGCTGGAGTGCAATGGCACGATCTCTGCTCACTGCAACCTCCACCTCCCAAGTTCAAGTGATTCTCCTGCCTCGGCCTCCTTAGTAGCTGGGATTACAGGCATCTGCCACTGTGCCTGGCTACTTTTTGTATTTTTAGTAGAGACAGGGTTTCACCATGTTAGGCCAGGCTGCTCTTGAACTCCTGACGTCAAGTGATCCTCCTGCCTCAGCCTCCCAACATGCTGGGATTACAGGTGTGAACAACTCGCACCCAGCCCTCAGTTTCTTTCTTTTTTTTTTTTTTTTTTGAGACAGAGTCTTGCTCTGTCGCCACAATGGAGTGCGGTGGCATGATCTCGGCTCAACCTCCGTCTCCTGGGTTCAAGTGATTCCTTTGCCTCAGCCTCCTGAGTAGCTGGGACCACAGGTGCATGCCACCACCCTCAGCTAATTTTTTGTATTTTAGTAGAGATGGGGTTTCACCATGGCCAGGATGGTCTCGATCTCTTGACTTCCTGATCTGCCCGCCTCAGCCTCCCAAAGTGCTGGAATGACAGGCGTGAGTCCCCACGCCTGGCTCTCTCTTTATATCACTCTCTCTGAGCCTCATTTATGTCATCTGTAACATGATAATAAAATGTGCCTTACCCCAGAAGGTTTGCAAGGGGATTCTAATTAGATTATTCTTGCTAAGTTCTCTGACAGCTGTAAAGTACTATACAAAGGCAAAGAAATCTTGTCCAAATTTCCTAAAGGTGATGAACTTTCAGATACAGTTTCAGGAAAGCACACAGGCTGCGATTATGGGAGGCTAACACTGGCAGTGACACCCCAAGAGCGTAGAACATTCTAGTATCCGTTATCTTGGGGTGGATTACACATTGCGTTAGAAACGCCATTCTGACAAGGCCTTGCAAAACAGTAAAATGAAACATAGGCCCTTTCACATACATTGACTCAATAAATCTTCCCAACACTGTGCCAAGTGGAAATTATGATGCCTATTTGACTGATGGGGAGCTGAAGCCCGGGGATGTTGAAGCTTACCTAAGATTATGCAACTGGCAAATGGCTGCATCAAAACAAATTCCTCCAACTCCAGCAGAAGAGGACATAGCGTGCTTACATGAAAAGGAAGAGCCAGTCGGGGGTGGCCTTAAACAAACGGCCCGTTTCTCTTTCCTCCGTGACACAGCTTTCTACTCAAGCCAGCAAACCTTTTCTTTCACAAATACTTCATATTTCTTACTATGGCTGGGGTGCCCAAAGAAACAACTATAACAACAGGTAGATTTAGGGTACCACAGGATGGGCCGGGCACGGTGGCTCACGCCTGTAATCCCAGCACTTTGGGAGGCCAAGGCAGGTGGATCACCTGAGCTTGGGAGTTCGAGACCAGCCTGAGCAACACGGAGAAAACCTGTGTCTACTTAAAAAAAAACAAACAAAAAAATTAGCTGGACATGGTGGCCTGTAATCCCAGTTACTCGGGAGGCTGAGGCTGGAGAATTGCTTGAATCCAGGAGGTACAGATTTCGGTGAGCCGAGATCGTGCCATCGCACTCCATGGTGCCTCGGCAACAAGAGCAAAACTCCGTCTCAAAAAAAAAAAAGGATACCACGGGGTGACGTCTGTGCACAGGCAGGAAGGCATTTTTACCCGAGCAGAGTCTGGTCAATGTCCACAGCTGTGGTGCCTGCTCCCCACTTCTTTAATTGAAGAAGTGGCTCTGGTCAGCTTCACTCTAACCCTGTTAGAAATGCCCAGTTCTGGCCGGGCGCGGTGGCTCACGCCTGTAATCCCAGCACTTTGGGAGGCTGAGGTGGGTGGATCACGAGGTCAAGAGATCGAGACCATCCTGGCCAACATGGTGAAACCCCGTCTCTACTAAAAATACAAAAATTAGCTGGGCATGGTGGCACGTGCCTATAATCCCAGCTACTCGGGAGGCTGAGGCAGGAGAATTGCCTGAACCCAGGAGGCAGAGGTTGCAGTGAGCCGAGATCGCGCCATTGCACTCCAGCCTGGGTAACAAGAGCTTAACTCCGTCTCAAAAAAAAAAAAGAAATGCCCAGTTCTTAGGTCACATCCCAATTCTACACAGAGACTCAAGGGTCTGCAGAAACACCTACTACTCTCCCACCTCCCTCCTCGTAAATAAGTTCATCGTATGGCTTAGGCGAGTCAAGAGTAGCTCATCAAACACACACTAGCGGTCCGTACTTCTGTACAAATATTTTTCACCGCCTAGAATTATTTTTTCATTATTTTGTGTCTCTTCCCTTATTTAAAATCTAATTTTAAAAAATCTAACTCAAATATCAAACATTAGAAACAGCCCCAGTGTACATCCATTTAGAGAGCAAGGTGGCTGGTCATGGTAGTTCACACCTGTAATCTCAGCACTTTGGGATGCTGAGATAGGGGATCGCTTGTGCCCACGAGTCTGAGACCAGCCTGAGCAACAGTGTGAAGCTCTGACTCTACAAAAACACACAAAATTACCCAGATGTGGTGGTGCACACCTGTAGTCCCAGCTAATCAGGAAGCTGAGGTGGGAGGACTCTTTGATCCCAGGAGGCAGAGGTTGCAGTGAGCCAAGATCATGCCACTGTACTCCAGCCTGGGAAACACAGTGAGAACCTGTCTCAAAAAAAAAAAATTGGAAACCAATTTAAATAAGTAATAAGAACACACATTCACCAAATAATGGACGATTAAACAGTTATTCAAAAGAACAACGTAGGCAGGGCATGGTGGCTCACACCTGTAATCCCAACGCTCTGGAAGGCCAATGCAGGAGGATCACTTGAGGCCAGGGTTTGAGACCAACCTGGGCAACATAGGGAGATCCCGTCTCCATGAAAAAATAAAAAATTAGTGGTGCACTCCTGCAGTCCTAGCTACTCGGAGGCAGAGGCAGGAGGATCCCTTGAGCGTAGGAGTTTGGGGTTACGGTGAGCTGTGATTGCACCACTGCATTCCAGCCTGAGTGACAGAGCAAGGGCCTGTCTCTTCAACAACAAAACCAAAAACAGATGTAACAGACTGCCAAAATAGAATGTTAAGTGAATCAGTAAAGGGAAGAGCAAGGTGTATAGTGTGTTCTAATTTTTATAAAAGAGAAACATTAAATATAGGCTTACAGTGGCACCAAAAAAAAACCTCTAGAATACACAAGAACTGTTAAGAATGGCTGTCTCTGGTTAAAGAGACATACTTTTCATTACATGCCTTTAGTGCTGTTTGAATTTTCCCATGGCATGTATTACTAATTCAGTTCAAACGAAACAAAAACAAAACTCTAAACATGTTTTTCTATCAAAAGCTCTACTTGTCCACCCTACTTCCTAGATATCTCCCAAATCTGATTACCACCCACTTCCCACTGCCTCTGCCCCAGCCTAACTATAGGAGTGAACTATGCTTTGCTCCTGCATTCCAAAATCTCAAGGCGCATGTTTTCATTTAAAATATAATTGTTTAAAGAGAGTAGCACCTGGTTATCCAGACTATTTAGTTAAATTGAAAACTATCAAAAGGCATATTGCAGCCTCACCTGCCTGCGAGCTCTAGCCTGCATTATAGTTGTTTGAAGGTCAATTTTGAGTTGTTTGCCCTGAGGGCCAAAATTGCTCCTCATGGTTTTGCCTCTACAGGTTCAGGCCATCAACCCCTCTCTCTCCAACGACTGCAACAGAATTTCTAATTAGTGTCACTAACTCTACTGTTTCTCATCCTCCCTCTCCCAAAAATCCATCCCCTTACTGAAATCAGAGTGATCCAAATTTTTTAATCTGGCCGGTTGTGGTGGTTCACACCTGTAATCCCAACACTTTGGGAGGTGGAGGCGGGTGGATCACCTGAGGTCAGGAGTTCGAGACCAGCCTGGCCAACATGGTGAAACCCCGTCTCTACTAAAAATATTTTTAAAAGAAACAAACAAACAAAAAGATTAGTTGGGCATTGTGGCGGATGCCCGTAATCCCAGATACACTTGGGAGGTTGAGGCGGGTGAATCACTTGAACTGGGGAGGCAGAAGTTCCAGTGAGCTGAGATCACGCCATTGTACTCCATCCTGGGTAACAAGAGCAAGACTCCGTTCAAAAAAAAAGAAGTAAAATGTTAAATCTGATATTTATATTCCCCACTGCCCTTGAGTGAGAGTCCACCTTCAGCACTGTTCACAGGGCCTCTGTGAGCCACTTCCTTCTTCTCCATTCCCCTTACAGACCCCTCGGGGCCACCCCATGCTCTAAACTCCAGCCACACTGCAGTTTAGTGAACTCTGTGCCCTGAATCAGCATTGCCCGTTCTGGCCTCTAACACCCATGCCCGCTATTTACTCTTTAGGGATCCCTGCTATCCTCAGCTTGACAGCAGAGCACTGACCAAAATATTTGCTCAGGGAGGCCAAAGAAATGAAACTGCAGCTGCCACAGGCTTGCCTGTCTTTTTTTTTTTTTTGAGACAGAGTCTCTCTATTGCCCAGGCTGGAGTGCAGTAGTGGGATCTCAACTCACTGCAACCTCCGCCTCCCAGGTTCAAGCAACTCTCATGCCTTAGCCTCCCAGGTATCTGGGACTGTATGAGTGTATCATCACGCCTGGCTAATTATTTTTTGTACTTTTTTTTTTTTTTGAGACGGAGTTTCGCTCTTGTTACCCAGGCTGGAGTGCAATGGCGCGATCTCGGCTCACCACAACCTCCACCTCCTGGGTTGAGGCAATTCTCCTGCCTCAGCCTCCTGAGTAGCTGGGACTACAGGCACGCACCACCATGCCCAGCTAATTTTTTGTTTTTTTTAGTAGAGACGGGGTTTCACCCTGTTGACCAGGATGGTCTCAATCTCTTGACCTTGTGATCAACCCACCTCAGCCTCCCAAAGTGCTGGGATTACAGGCTTGAGCCACCGCGCCCAGCCTATTTTTTGTACTTTTTTGTAGAGATGAGGTTTCACCCTGTTGGTCAGGCTGGTCTCAAACTCCTGACCTCAGGTTCTCTCCCCACCTCGGCCTCCCAGAGTGCTGGGATTACAGGTAAGAGTCACCATGCCAGGTCAGGCTTGCCTCTCTGAGCCACACCCTTCTCCTGTTGGAACAAGCATCCTTTCCATTAAAAGTAATACATCCCCTCTTATTTAAGTGACAGATGGTTAAGATTGTTACTTTTGGCCAAACATGGTGGCTTACGCCTGCAATCCCAGCACTTTGGGAGGCCGAGGCGGGCAGATCACGAGGTCAAGAGATCGAGACCATCCTGGCCAACATGGTGAAACCCTGTCTCTACTAAAAATACAAAAATGGTGAAACCCTGTCTCTACTAAAAATACAAAAAATTAGCCTGGGATGGTGGTGCGTGCTTGTAATCCCAGGTACTCGGGAAGATGAGGCAGGAGAATTGCTTGAAACCGGAAAACAGAATTTGCAGTGAGCCGGGATCGCGCCAGGGCACTCCAGCCTGGTGATAGAGTGAGACTCTGTCTCAAAAAAAAAATTGTTACTTTTGCTTTCAGCAATCCTCTAAAAAAAAAGGAAGAGGACAAACTTTAAGGCCAAAAACTAACTTCTATCAGCCATGCAGAAGTTCCAAGAGGTGACCTGTGTTCTTCACATAAAGACCTCCACAAAGGCCCCTTCTGTCATGGAGTCACAGTTCCAGCAAGCTAGGTTCATCCTCGAATGTGTAATGGCTTTCCAAGCCTACCTGGAGAACCGTGAATCACCTGGACTCCACTTCCCCTCCCACACTGGGTCCTTCACCCCACCAGGCTTGAGTTTTGCTTGGGGAGAGAATGGTCTCTAGACAATATGTCTCTCCCTATCAGTCTGCAGGATGCTCAGCAGGGGCCCCTCGACACGCCTGCTGGACACGGCTGCTCCCACGGCATGTGCAAAGGCTTCACACTGGGATTGAAGGTTCTACATTTCTTCATGGACATCCCCAAACAACACAGAACAGAGACAAGGTTTTCTGGTCCTTTTGGAATGTCCACACCATTCCCATTCTTCAAAATCTGTCACACTCCCAAATAACTCCAGTGAACAATGAACTCTTCCCATACGCAGTAGCAGTTGATTCTTTATTTGATACTGAATTATATATTCTCTTGAACTGTTCTCTAACAACTATGGGGCATTTTCAACAATAGTTGAATGGAAAAATATCTGGTTTCCAGGCCAGGTGTGGTGGCTCACGCCTGTAATTCCAGCACCTGGAATTACAGGGTTGATCACCTGAGGTCATGAGTTCGAGACTAGCCTGGCCAACATGGTAAAACCCTGTCTCTACTAAACATACAAAAATTAGCCAGGCATGGTGGTGGGCACCTGTAATCCCAGCTATTCAGGATACTGAGGCACGAGAATCGCCTGAATCTGGGGTGTGGAAGTTGCAGTTAGCTGAGATCACACCATTGCACTCCAGCCTGGGTGACAGAGACAGACTCCATCTCAGGAAGAAAAAAAAAGATCTGGCCTCTCAAGAGGCCACCACTAACTCTCTGTGTAACCTTGAGCAAACCAACGTTCTGGGCCTCGGTGCTCCATCCTAAGAGGACTTCCGATCTCTTAGGATCTTCCGCAGTCTGTGTGTTTCTGACTCAAAACTCCTCCAAGTGCAGGAATACAGCCGCATCCCTTTCTCAAGGCCAGACACATACTAGGCGCTCTATTAATATCTGAATTAAAACCACGGATGAAGAGCTTGCCCGGCCCTGGCCTTTCTACACCACGCCAACGCGCCACGGATCATTGTGTCTTCCCTGGGAAAGACCCTCAGAGCCTATGACGTCACCGATACAGATCTGTTACTCCTTAGCTTAAACTTACATCTCTCCAGGTCAACCGTCAAGAAAGCTATGAAATTATCAACAAGGATTTAAACTGTCGGCTCCAATTTCACTTATTTCCCCTACCCCACTACGCCCTTTTTCCGCAGCACTTGCACTAACCGCGGAAGTTGCAGTTAGCTGAGATCGCGCCACTGCAATGAAACACATTCATGCTGTACATACTCATTTGTTAGGGCAACTGCCTCGACCCTACCACCCAGATCCCCCGTGTTCCTCGCAAGTAAGCCAAATGACCATGTGAAGAACTGACTGACGCCCAAAGGAAAATAATAAACACAAGCAAATAAAAGCAAATTCCTTTCCAGGAATTTCACTTGGAAAACCAAGTATAATGGCAAAAAACAAAACACACAAAAAAACCACCGCAACAAAAAACTCTAATTTTTTCAGCGACGGGGACGTTGGGGGTGTAGACATCTCGAGAGCCGGTTTCCGAAGGCACCGCACCCCAGACAATGCGCGACAAGAGCCTCCCAGCTGCTGGGTCAATGACGCCTTTCAGGCCCTCCACACTGCTTCACTTGTTCCCTAAAGTACTGCTTTCTGGAAGCTAAAGTCTCAGCTGGCAGGAACAGTGAACTCCGTGCCATTTGTCTATCAACGCCTTTAAAAAGCAAAACCTCCTCTACAGCTGTCTTGTTTTGCATTTTCTATTCTGCACTCCAGTACACGTAACGACACACAGAGGAGGCAGGGGCGCTTTTAAAACCGTGAAGAAAGAAGAAATTTGAAAGCACCCAGAAGGCTCTGCTTTCAGCTATTAGAGAAAAGTTTGCATCCCATAGAAACCAGCACTAATTAAAAAAAAAAAAAAAAAAAGTCAGTCCTCAATCCTGGGAATCAACAATAAGGGACTCTTCAGGATATGGAGTACCCCCAAAAATTTAAAAACAAAAAATAAAAGTGCACAGCCCATCTAGCTTTTCCCAATCAAACAATACAGTCTTCCAAAATGCAAAAATAAAAATCTTTTCAGATGTGAACTTTACCTCAGTAAAGTAAGTTTTAAAAAATCTTTTCGGCCAGCCACAGTGGATCATGCCTGTAATCCCAGCACTTTGGGAGGCTGAGGCAGGTGGATCCCAAGGTCAGGAGTTCAAGACCGGCCTGGCCAAAATGGTGAAACCCTGTCCTTACTAAAAATACAAAAAATTAGCTGGGCGTGGTGGTGGGCTCCTGTAATCCCAGCTCCTTGGGAGGCTGAGGCAGGAGATTCGCTTGAACCCTGGAGGTAGAGGTCACAGTGAGCCAAGATCGCACCACTGCATTCCAGCCTGGGTGACAGGGAGACTCCATCTCAAATTAGAAAATCTTCCCACATTCAGTCAATTCAGTTGGCACTACTGTAGGAAAATAATTGGTGCAGATAATCCAAAGTATTTGGAAATAAAAATTTCCAAAAGCATTTTTTAAAGCATTTTTACTCCACTTTGACAAACCCTATGCAGATTTTACAGAAAATTTATCTTCATAATTTTATTATTGTAAATAGTTGCTTAGTAAAAGCAGTTTATACCACTTGAGCACACCCCAACTGACAGGACAGGAAAGCTGTCAAAAAAGAGTGCCTAGGCTGGGCATGGTGGCTTCAACCTGTAATCCTAGCACTTTGGGAGGCCGAGACAGGCAGACCACCTGAGGCCAGGAGTTTGAGACCAGCCTGGCCCACATGGCGAAACCCCCATCTCCACTAAAAATACAAATATTAGCTGGGCGTGGTGACGAGGCCTGTAATTCCAGCTACTTCCGAAACTGAAACTTGAACCCAGGAGGCGGAGATTGCAATGAACTGAGATCTTGCCACTGCACTCCAGCCTGGGTGACACAGTGAGACTCTGTCTAAAAAAAAAAGAAAGGAAGAAAAAAGTAAAAAGTTTGTATGTATGCAGAAATTAAATAACTGTCTTTTTTTTTTTTTTTTTTTTTGAGAAAGAGTCTGGCTCTGTTGCTAGCCCAGGGTGGAGTGCACTAGTGCCATCTTGGCTCACTGCAACCTCTGCCTCCCGGATTCAAGCAGTTCTCTGCCTCAGCCTCCCAAGTAGCTGGGATTAGAGGTGCCCACCACCACACCCAGCTAATTTTTGCATTTTTAGTAGAGATGAGATTTCACCATCTTGGCCAGGCTGGTCTTGAACTCCTGACCTCGTAATCCACCTGCCTCGGCCTCCCAAAGTGCTGGGATTACAGGCATGAGCCACACGCCTGGCAAAATTAAATAACTATCTAAACATGGAGGTGGGTTAAAGAAATTCTGACACACCACACTACTGTCACGTAGGCATTTTAAATGGTATCTATGAACGCGTTAAAACAAATGCTTATGATAGAATTTTAAAAGAAAAAAGCAAAATAACTATATTCCATGATTATGAGTGTTAAAAATATTTTTTAATGACTTGAAAGTAAATATATAGAAATCGTTGTCATCAGAATTGTGGATTAATTTTTTAAAGGGTCCTTTTCTTAAAGGGAAAAATAGATTAAGCTTAAATTAAAAACCTATTGCTTGTATAATGTGCAATTAATACCAGTTTAACTGCTAGGATAAATGGAATGTTGTTTTGAAAGTGCTAGATATCTCATTTTAACTCAGGACCCATGATGCTCGCTCATTCTCTTCCCCCTCGAAATTTGTAGAACCATGAATTTAAGCACTTTGGGAGTTGAGTCTTTTAGGACTATGGTTTAAAGATTATACTAAATCTCTATACTAGCACTACTTTTCTACTAGATTTCAAATTTATTGAGAACTAAGATTATATATTTTTGTTGCAAACCTAGACCCCCACGCCCCCATCCTTCTGCACATATAAGAATGTATTTGTGGCCAGGGGCGGTGGCTCACGCCTGTAATCCCAGCACTTTGAGAGCCCAAGGTGGGCAGATCATCTGAGGTCAGGAGTTCAAGACCAGCCTGGCTAACATGATAAAATCCCATTTCAGGCCAGGCGCGGTGGCTCACGCCTGTAATCCCAGCACTTTGGGAGGCCGAGGAGGGTGGATCACCTGCGGTAGAGAGTTTGAGACCAGCCTGACCAACATGGAGAAACCCACGTCTCTACTAAAAACACAAAATTAGGCCGGGCGCGGTGGCTCATGCCTGTAATCTCAGCACTTTGGGAGGCCGAGGTGGGCAGATCATGAGGTCAAGAGGTGGAGTCCATCCTGGCCAACATGGTGAAACCCCCTCTCTAATAAAAATACAAAAAATTAGCCGGGAGTGGTGGTGCATCCCTGTAGCTGAGGCAGGAGAAGAATGGCTTGAAACCAGAAAACGGAAGTTTCAGTGAACCGGGATCCTGTCACTGCACTCCAGCCTGGCGACAGAGCAAGACTCCGTCTCAAAAAAAAAAAAAAAAAAAAAAATTAGCCAGGCATGGTGGCATATGCCTGTAATCCCAGCTACTCAGGAGGCTGAGGCAGGAGAATCGCTTGAATCCAGGAAGGAGATTGCAGTGAGCCGAGTTCACGCCATTGTACTCCAGCCTGGGCAAAAAGAGGGAAACTCCGTCTCAAAAAAAAACCAAAAACCCTTTCTACTAAATATATAAAAAGTTAGCCTGTAGTCCCAGCTACTCAGGAGGCTGAGGGAGGAGAATCGCTTGAACCCGGGAGGCAGAGGTTGCAGTGAGCCAAAATCCTGCCATTGCACTCCAGCTTGGACAACAAGAGTGAAACTCCATCTCCAAAAAAGAAAAAAAGAGAGAGATCATGAAAGTAAGTTCCAAAAATTATATGAGTCTGTTATTTTCCTTGTCTTTTCTCTACTCCAAGGAAAGATAAACCTAATTGGTATTCCTTACCACTGTAACAATCAGGACCCACCTGAGGGAGAGGGAAGAAAGCTATATCAAGGATGTATTTAAAGCTCATTAGTTAAACCAAATGAAAACATAAGATCCAAAGAGTTCCTTTTATATTGGTTTAAAACTTTCAGAAAGTCTGGGTAGGGTGGCACATGCCTGTCCGAGCTACTGAGGAGGCTGAGGCAGGAGGATAGCTTAAGCCCAGGATTTTGTATCCACCCGGGCAACATGGTGAGGCTTTGACTCAAAAAAAAAAAAAAAAAAGAAAAGAAAAAAAAGAAAAAAGGGTTTTAGTAGAAAATATAATCTGATGCAGTAGATTATGGAGTTTTGCATTTAAAAAAAATAGATCTAATTGATAAGACAGCAAAAAATGAATTTGTGCAACCCAGCAATTTCGTTCCACACACACACTAGAGTAGTAATCAGCAAGCACTTTCCGCAGAGTCAGAGAGCAGATATTTCAGGCTTTGCACACCACCCAGTCTTTGTTACAACTACTCACTAGGCCTGACAACAGCCTTAGGTAATATATAAATGCATGAGCATGACCGTTCCAATAAATTTTACTTATGGACACTGAAACTTGGATTTTCATATAATTTTTATGTATCATAAAATATGTCTTTCCATTTTTAAAAACCATTCAGAAATGCAAAACCCATCTTAGTGTCTGGGTCATACAAAAAAAAAAAGGTGGAGGCCAGGTGCAGTGGCTCAGGCCTGTAATCCCAGCACTTTGGGAGGCCAAGGATCACAAGATCAAGAGATCAAGACCACGCTGGCCAACATGGTGAAACTCCATCTCTACTAAAAATACAAAAACATTATCCAGGTTTGGTGGCACATGCCTGTAGTCCCAGCTACTTGGGAGGCTGGGGCAGGAGAATCACTTGAACCCGGGAGGTTGCAGAGAGTGGAGATCAAGCCACTGCACTCCACCCAGCCTGGTGACAGAGCAAGACTCTGTCTTTAAAAAAAAAAAAAAAAAGGTGGAGGGCCCACGGGCCAGACCATGGTTTGCCAATTCCTGCTCTAAAGAACTCTTACAGGCCAGGTGCAGTGGCTCATGGCTATAATCCCAGCACTTTGGGAGGCTGTGGGCAGATCACATGAGGCCAGGAGTTCAAGACCAGCCTGACCAACATAGTGAAATGCTGTCTCTACTAAAAATACAAAAATTAGCTGAATGTGGTGTCGCAGGTCTGTGGTCCCAGCTACTTGGGAGCCTGAGTCACGAGAATTGCTTGGACTCAGGAGGTGGACGTTGCAGTGAGCTGAAGTTGTGCCACTGCATTCCAGCCTGCGTGACAGAGCAAGACTGTCTCAAACAAAGAAACAAACAAAAAGAACTCTTATATACGCATAACTCAACTACATATGAGAATGTTCATAACATCATTATGGGAATTAACAAGTATGCAGATACCAAAAATGTTGGTAGACAAAAACTGGAGTTACATGTACGAACATGGACGATCTTACAAATATAGTTAAGAGAAAACACAAATTACAGAAGAACAGTTACAACGCCATCTATATAAATATTTTAAATTGGCAGAAATTATATATCACTGTGCATATTTAACATATAATAAAATTCTGAAGAGGCTGGGCATGGTGGCTCGCACCTATAATCCCAGCACTTTGAAAGACCAAGGCAGGTGAATCACTTGAGGTCAGGAGTTCAAGACCAGCCTGGCCAACATGGCGAAACCTCATCTCTACTAAAAATGCAAAAATTAGCTGGGTGTGGTGGCACACACCTGTAATCCCAGCTACTCAGGAGGCTGAGGCAGGAGACTCGCTTGAACCCAGGAGGCAGAGGATGCAGTGAGCCGAGATTGCGCCACTGCACTCCAGCCTGGGCCACAGAGTGAGACTGTCTCAAAAAATATATATATATCTCGGAAGAAATATAAAGGAATGTTCCATATGAAACTCATTTACCTGGTAATGACAGCAGGTAGAAGGCAGGAGGAGGAGAATACAATTGGAGAAGGCTGCGACAAGGGGCTTCAACTTCATTGCCGATGTTTCATTT